CATACTTCACGTTGCACCCGGCCCCTGACTGCCATCAAGCACTGTGGATGGCACAGCTACTGGAAACTTTTTAATTGTCTCTTGGGGGATTGAAATCTTCAATTCTTTTTTTTTTTTGAGACAGTCTCACCCTGTAACCTGGGCTAGAGTGCAGTGGTGCCATCTCAGCTCACTGCAACCTCCGCCTCTCAGGTTCAAGCAATTCTCCTGCATCAGCCTCCTGAGTGGTTGGTATTACAGGTGCATACCACCACACCCGGCTAATTTTTTATATTTTTGGTAGAGATGGGGTTTCACCATGTTGGCCAGGCTGGTCTCAAACTCCTGACTTCTAGCGATCCACCCACCTTGGCCTCCCAAAGGGCTGGGATTACAGGCGTGAGCCACCGTGCCTGGCCTGAAATCTTCACATCTAAATAATATGCACATATTGATCTGTATCAATTTATAAATGTGGACTTGATCTTTTAGATCCCTATTCTGGAAGATGAGGCTATCACACATTTTTTTCACCCCTTTCCCCTCTTCCATCTTTCTGATAAAATTGTACCTCAATTTTTGGGTAAATCTGTATCTAAGGTTTTCATTATTATGACTGAAAATTTTGCTTCCTACTTACTGAACCAAGAAATAATTTAATTCTGAGTCAGGAAATATTTACTTTATATCATTTCTTAACAACCTTTTGTTTTTCTGGACCTGCTTGTATTTTTAAGAACATATTCTTCCCCACACCCTGCAATAGGTCTGGATCTGAAAATAAAAAACAAAACAACCTTCAATATCATTTTCTATGCAGCCACATCTGTTCAGTGGTTTTTAGTCCTGTTTTATGTTTTACGTTTCTGTTAGACACCCCTTCAGAAGCCATTTCACCTGCTGCATTTGAATGGGCTACTCTCTGGGTCTCCTACATGGCTACTGTCTTGGGTCTTCACCATCATTCTGAGAATTCTCTGCTATGTTGGAACCCTTCATTTCTGGATCTGATATATTCCTCTCTGTAGTGTTCAGCCTCATTTTTCTGGAGTGCGTCCTCTAGTGCAGGGTCCCCAGTCCCCCGTCCACAGACCAGTACCAATCTGTGGCTGGTTAGGAACGGGGCATGCACAGCAAGAAGTGAGTGGCAGGCCGGAGAGCAAAACTTTGTTTGTATTTACAGCTACTCCCCATTGCTCAAATTATGGCCTGAGCTCCACCTCCTGTAAGATCAGCAGTGGCATTAGATGCTCAAAGGAGCGCAGACCCTATTGTGAACGTGCATGTAGGGGATCTGGGTTGTGCATTCCTTATGAGAATCTAATGCCTGATGATCTGTTACTGTCTCCCATCACCTCCAGTTGAAAATGTCTAGTTGCAGGAAAACGAGCTCAGGCTCCCATTGATTCTACATTATGGTAAGTTGTGTAATTTTATTTCATTATATATTACAATTTAATAATAATAAAAATAAAGTGCATAATACATATAATATGCTTAAATTATCCCAAAACCATCCCCCACCCCCAGTTGGTGGAAAAATTGTCTTCCATGAAACCAGTCCCTGGTGCCGAAAAGGTTGGGGACTGCTGCTTTAATAGCTTCATGGAAATGGTATATGAAAAATAGATTTTTTGAGAATGTGTGAATCTGAAAATACCTTTATTTTATCATCATGATTGATAGTTTGGCTGAGTGTAAAAATTCTAGGATGAAAAATCTTTCCCTTTCAAACACTGAAAGCACTGTCCCTCCATTCTTCTAGCTTCAGACGCTGCTATTGAGAATTCTGATGTCATTCTTATTCCTCTTTCTTTCTTTGTATGTGTTCGTTTTACTGTTGTTTCCTCTTTGGAAACTTTTAGAATCTTTTCTTTATTTCTGATGTTTTGAAGTTTCGAAGTGATATTCCTTGGTGTGTGTATTAGTTTTTATGTATACTAGATTCTTCGTGTTTCGGAGACTTAACTGGAAAGTATAGTTTTTATTTGGTCGTTTTTTCCCCCCTAAAATCCTTCTGGATTTCTTCCTCTGCTTTTCTTACTTTTCTCCTGTTGTCTATTTTTGTGTTCTGTTTTACTTTTTGTGAGATTTCTTCAACTTTATCTTTTTAGCCTTTCTGTTTTAAAAATAGAAAACCTTTCTATTTTGAAAGTTGCTGACATTTTAAAAATTCCAACTTCCACATTCTTAATTTCTAAGAGCTCTTTCTTGTTCAGTGCTTTTTCCTTCTTTAGAGTATTCTGTTCTTGTTTCATGAAATCAAGACCTTTCTAGAAATATTAATTGTAGATTTTAAAGCCTTTTTTCTGTTCTCTATTATAGTTTGCTTGGTGTTCTATAGCTGGTTGGGGGAAGGAGCTGGAGCATCTCACTCTTTAGTGTGCTGATGCCCCCAGAAGTTACTCTTTTTATCCATCATGGCACCCTTGCCCTCCTCTGTGCCTAGTGTCCCCGGTCCAGAGTCTCTACAGTTTGCTTTCTTTTCAGAGAAAAATTTCAGGTCCTCTGTGGAGTGGGGGTGGAGATATGGGGGAATTAATTGTGTTTTTTTTGTTTTTTTTTGTTTTCTTTGATACTGAGTCTTGCTCTGTCACCCAGGCTAGAGTGCAGTGGTGCAATCTTGGCTCACTGCAGCCTCTGCCCCGCTGGTTCAAGTGATTCTCCTGCCTCAGCCTCCTGAGCAGCTAGGATTACAGATGTGAGCCACTGCGCCCAGCCTAATTGTTTTTTTAATACACATTTTGAAGGAATTCCCTGTTGAGTCCTGCCTTAGCCTTACCTCCCAAAGATATCTTGAAACCCAGGTTCTCAGCTTTTCTAAGGTTCTGTGTGGCTTACTTCTTATTGTGCTGTTTTGACATTTGCACTTCCTTCTCTTGCTGAGTCATTTAGGATTCCTCCATCCGATTCTGTCTTCATATATTGTAATTTAGGGCTTTTATATGTCTTCTGGTTTTATCAGAAATCAAAGTTGTATTTCTGTATCTTGCTTTCTTTCTTTGGGGTTGACTTTTGAGAGAAGAACGCAGAAAAACTAACATGTTTATCCTATCATCTTGAAACAGAAAAATCCTATTAGATTGATCTTAGACAGTATCAGGTTTTCTCTTTGTTATGGATTTGATAATTCCCACATTTATCTTAAGCAAAATTGAGTCTGTTAGGTACATTGGTGTGCTTTGTTTAAGAAAAAAATGCATATAATTTAATTTCCTTTATAAAATTACATTACTTCTCCATTTTTTTGGTATTGTAGTAGAAAGATTCATTCCATGTTAGTGACGTTTTGAAGACTAGTGTACCCTTTAAAGAATCAAATCTTTTATTTCACCAATTTTTAATTGAAATTTCTCCAAAATTTATCAGTGATTTCTCTACATTATTAAAAAGAAAGAGATGAATGCATTCTTCTCCTGGTTTCTCAGAGGCATCATCTGAATATCGTTTATTGCACGATGGTATAATTTTGTAACATCTCAGGGGCTGGTACCTCCTCTTTCACTGAATTCTCCCAGGCACTTGCTTTTTAAATTCATAATCGATTTTGCAGAGGTGGCTGTCACTTCCCAATGAGTCATCTTTGGAAAGAGCTCTCCATTCCCCTGACACTGTGCTACATTTAATTGACTGTCCAGTGTGCTCAGAAAGAACTGAGATTGCAGCAGAAGCAAAATATTCAGGCTGGCAAAACTAGGAGCCTTAAATTTAATTTCAAATCCTGGTCAGTAGACTTTGATGGACAGTTCCTTCCAGTTTCCATGATTCTATAGGGTACATGTCTCAGGCTATGTGGCAGTTCTGTTCTTATCTGCTAAGCCTTAGATGTCTAACACTGTACTGTGGTTTTGTCCTGATACAACGCTTATGTTAGCTGGTGCAGTGATGGATAGAGTTTTGCTCAGTGCAATCTTTGGCCAAGTTGTTCACTCCTATAGCTGGACTCTTAATTGCACATTTCCATTGCCCATTCTAAGGCTCTCCCCAGAATTTGAGCTGAAAGTGCTCAGAGATAGGGAAGATGAGCTGGTTGATCATTTTTATCATTCAGACTTTTTTTTTTATCTGATCATAAGAAATAGCTTTGTGAAATAGCCATGGAAAAATAGGGTTAATAAACGAGGATGCTTCACTTGGTTCAAATGTCCTTTTTGGGAGGTGAGGAGTCAGTGAATTATCTCTTCACATGGTGATAATATAGAGAAAATTCCAGAGCAAAAACTTTACCTATCTTGGAAATTCAGATCAAAAGAATTTTTGAGCAAGGCATGGTGGTGTGTGCTTGTAGTCCCAGCTATTCAGAGGACCGAGGAGGGAGGATCATTTAAACCCAGGAGTTTGAGGCCAGCCTGGGCAACATAGCAAGGCTCCATCTCTGAAAAAACAAGAATTTTTGGTAGTAATAGCAACTGATACTGAACACATAAAATGACTTAAACACTAACAAACAAATGTTCACTGGATAAATTTACCCTTCAACGCCTAGTTCAAGTATCACCCTGGTCTTGGGGCTTTCTGTCTATGGGTGGCCCTACACTAAGTTAGGGATTCTGTCCTTAAATGCTCCCACAGCGGTTTGCTCATATTCCTGAAATAGCGCCGGCCCCACTGTGTTCTAATTCATCTATTTTCACATCTTTCTTCCTGCTTAGATAGCGAGGTTCTGGGAGGGAACGATTCACCTTTGCGTCCCCAGCACCTGGTGTGCGTGGGCTGCTGTGTGGGAGATGGTTTATGTGTGCTAGATGAATGAGTAGTAGGAGTACTCATTAAATTTCATCTTTCACACTGGGCAAAAAGAGGACATGGTGTATTGAAATATTTTCAACTTGTGGATACGAAGCATCTCCCTTTTATGATTTAGGGTAAGACATTCAGGGCACAATTATTTTTTTCTTTAACACCTTCCTCACTTTCTTCTATCCTCCCTCCCTTCCTCTCAGTCTCAGGAAAAAGTGTGTCTTAATTTTCTTCAATTAAGAGTCTTTTTGAAGAACACCCCTTTCTTTCTTTCTTTCTAGGCGGGCATTAATGAAAATGATTTTTATGACGGAGCATGGTGCGCAGGAAGAAATGACCTCCAGCAGTGGATTGAAGTGGACGCCCGGCGCCTGACCAGATTCACTGGGGTCATCACTCAAGGGAGGAACTCCCTCTGGCTGTGAGTGTACCTGGACATGTGCTTTCTGGACCCTGTTTTGGGTCTCACTTTTGAGGGTCTGGGTAGACACAGGGAAGTTGCAGAGAGGTGTTTGGTGATGGGCAGTAGAAGGGGAGAAAATTGGAATATGAACAGGAGGCCGGGCTCACTGTCGACACATTCTCCTGGAAGGAAGGTGCGTCTCAGAACGACACCCTCCCCCTGCACAGGAGTGGAAAGAAAGATCTGCCCCAGGTGGTTTAGGCAAGTGGCTGCTGTCTTGGCTCTGGGATGAGATATTGGTGTCCTGACTGGTGGCCAGGGCACAGCCCAAGGCAGGACCTCTGGACAAGCAGTGAGTACACAGTTCTGGAGTCGAGGGCATGGATTGTCCAGATCCTGGGAAGAAGGACTGGAAGTCTAGGTTCCTGAATGAAGGACCACCGGAGAAGTAGTGAAAGTCAAGGATGACACAGCTTGAGGCCTGCGAATGAGAAGGGGTTCCATTTCTCAGAATTTCACTCAGGACCAAGGCTGGGACAGTGACAAGTGTGACCTGATTGTAACCCCAAGAGAGATGGGTTGCAGCCCCTGAAAACCCCTGTCTCATGACATATGCATACAGTGGAACATATTATTCAGCCTTAAAGAGGAAGGCATGCTGCCACATGCTACACGTGGGTACAGCTTGGAGTCGTTCTGCTGAGTGCAATATGCCAGTCACAAAAGACAAACACTGCGTGATTCCACTTCCATGACGACCTAGAGCAGTCAGATGTATAGCGGCAGAAAGTAGAATGGTGTTGCCAGGGCTAGGAGGAAGGGGGAACTGGGAGTTAATGTTGAAGAGGTACAGAGGTTCAGTATAGGTTGATGAAAAGTTCTGGAGATAGATGGTTGCAAATGTGAATGTACTTAATACCACAGAACTGTACAGTTAAAGATGGTTAAAATGATAAATTTTATGTAATGTTTATTTTACAATAAGCAAGCAAAAATACATGAACAAAATCACCCCGTCAACCTCGGCTCAGGGCTGGTTGTGGAGACCGAGGCAGAGCTGCATCTGTGAGGGGTGTCGTGTGGCTCCAGCCATGTGGACGGTGGTCATGCAGAGCTTGGGGGCTTTGTGGAGGGGCATAGTAGAGTCAGCAGGACCTCGGGTGCTTTCTGAACATATACAAGAAGTCTTCAAATTCTTCTAACATCTGCCTACATTGAGAAGCCAAGATCACAAATGTCCCACGCGTGAACATTAGGAAACTGTGATATTTGTGAGCCTAGATCCCTCCCGTCTGCAGTCCTCCCCAACCCTCCCATCTATACTGCGCTCTGAAAGCTCATGTCTTACCATCTTTCAATATTTACTAATTACTTGGCAATCAAATAAAATCAGAGTTTAATTTGCTGACTAGATTAATTTTAATTTCTGGAAGGTCAACATTAATAAATAAAGTGGGATAAGTGAGATGAACCTGGCATCTGTGCTCGCATTTAAACACCTGTCATTGTCCCTGCAAAGGGGACTTTCTTATGCAGTGACAATTGTCAGGCAGTGACTCATCATCTATTTTACTCTGAATTTTTTTTTTTTTTTTTACTGTAAAGACAATATTATAACATCCAGCAAAATTTTAAAACATTATGCATGATTCCGTGGTCCTTATGCTAACAGATTTTTTTCTCCCATATTGCAATCATGTTACATATCCAGTTATTTTATTTTTAACTTAAAGACATATCAGTAACATTTTTCATGCTGTTACTCAGGCTTTGTAATGATCATTTTTAATGGCCTGTAATTTACTCAGCCACACCTCCATCACTGTCTCAATTTTCTATTATCACATATCATGTTGTGAGAAAGCATTTTCATACTTTTTCTTCATTAGAAGTATTTTCTGTGAATACATTTTCAGAGCTCGAATAATTTGTGCATTTTGACAACAGTTGGTTATGCATTTATGCCATTTTGTGTATTGCATTTTATTGCCTTGCTTTTCAGTAGCGTTTGTGTATGTATTTGTTGATTTTTCCTCTGTGGCATGCATTTTGCTTTTAGCAGTAGCTTATTCCCATAACAATTGTTTTCACTGTTGATATTCTGAAAGGCAAGAATTTATGGGGGCAGTTGGGTTGCTCAGGAAAAAATGGAAACTTAAAACAAAAGACTGTTTTGAGATTATCCATGGGGATTTTTGCCTTAATGTTTGCATGTTAAGCTGTCTGGCCACTGTCCTTAGAGACCCAGTAGTCGGGTTATTATTAGATTAGAAAATAAGTGAAAGGTAAGTATAAAGCTCACATTCCATTTCAGCTAGAAACACAAGAAGGTTTGGGGTAAGCAAGGAATTGCAGTGGAACAGTATCTTTCCTTGGCTCAAACAGTACAGGAACATCTCAGAGGGAAGGCAAGGGATAGAATTACTTTAAGAGTTTATTTTTTTACATGTATTTCAAGCCAAATTATTCTCCAGGAACAATGAAAAGAAACCTGATGAGTTTTGGTTTGTCTTCTCTCTTGGAATAGTACTATCTCCAGTGAGAACTGAAAAGGAAATGGGATTAGGATACATCTTGGTATCTGAGCCTTTTTCTATCTCAGTATGTCCAGAAAACATGTCAAAAATGAGTATCATTCAATACTAACAGCGAGGAAGGCAATAGTCATCTCCCTTTCTCTCTTGGCATGACCCATCCCCACACTGCTCCCAGTAGAGACGGCTATGGTACCATTTTTAATATTTCTATTGATTGGTTTTCATGTTTCTTCCCACTAGTCTGTGATTCCCTTGATGGCAGATCCATGTCTTGGCAGTCTTTATTCCTGGGACCTTACCCAGGACCAGGCGCCTATTAGATGCACAAGAAATAACTCTTTAATGAATGGGTATCAATATGAAGTAAAGAGTCGACAAAGACTCATTCACATGGAATGGTAATGAGCTAACTGATCTATGACGATACATGGATGAGCATTTATTTATATTATACATGTAAGGGGGGAATGTGGAGGGGTTCGGGAAGAGAAGGTTGAGAAGCCACAGGTGTGTGGAGCTGGACAGCTCCTGTAGAGTGGCCGCCGCGTCAGGGCTTTCGGCCCTTGCTGGTTTCGAGATTTCTCTTCTGTGACCCTCAGTTTCCCGTTCTCTAAAAATGAGATAACTACTCTCTATCTCATAAAGATGTGGTGAGAGTAAAATTAAATTATGATGTTTTAAATGAGCCAGCACATAATAAGTGCACAGTAAGTGGTAGCTGTTCCTGCCACACGTCTTTGGGTTTATCTGTAACCGCGGTTTTCAAGCTTTATTTTTAGGTATAGATTCTTCTCTCAAATAAAATCTTTCTTGGAAATATTTAGAAAATATAGACAGAGAAATCTGCTTTGCATGAATCTGAGGATTTGGGGACAGTCACCTACCTGGTCCTCCTCTCTTCTTCTTCACAGGAACACCTCAGAGGACAAATTGGTGGAAGTATCTGTGTGTAGGAGCCTAGTAAATAACTCGAGGGGGGTCTGTGCAGGTTACTATCCTGCACACTCCCCCGGTGCCCGTTGTCACTTCCCAGGTCCTGCAGGGTCGCAGGCAGAAGTGGAATTCACACCAAGACAAGCCATGGCAGAGCTGGAATTAGAGTTTGAGTTTTCTAGTTAAGTGTGCAGAGCGTACCCTCATCTCACAGCGTGTTGCATTTTGGTTGGTAATGTTTCAGAAATGGAAAGGGAGGAACTCGCCAGCCTGGTAGATTTTTCCAAATGGATGTTGCTATTCAGAGTGGCTTCTAGCTGGCTATTGAAATACAGAAAGACTTGACTAGCAGTTGGAGTTACAATATACACTTAAGAAATAAACTTTTCCTTTATAGGACATTTATAGTTGGATTTTATTTTATTTTATTTTTTAGATGGAGTCTTGCTTTGTCACCCAGGCTGGAGTGCAGAGGTGTGATCTCAACTCACTGCAACCTCCACCTGCCAGGTTCAAGTGATAATACTCAGCTTCTTGAGTAGCTGGGATTACAGGCATCTGTCACTGTGCCCAGCTAATTTTTGTATTTTTAGTAGAGACGGGGTTTCACCATGTTGGTCAGGTGGTCGTGAACTCCTGACCTCAGGTAATACTCCCACCTCGGCCTCCCAAAGTGCCTGGATTGCAGACATGAGCCACCATGCCTTGCCCTATAGTTGGAATTTTAAAATGAACATTCATGATCTTATTTGTTTCTGATACTCTCTGGATGTCTATTAATTCATTCCTATGATGTTTATCAAGTGCTCTACAATAAGCACTAGGGATATAAAAGTGGGCAAGAAATGGCCCTGCCTGCAGGGAGCTTTCAATCTGTTGGAAGAGTCCAATACCTTCATGGGTCTACTAGACTCAGCAAGGCGCATCCCATGGTAAATGGGAACAGGGCAGCTGCTGTGAGACCTGGGAGACAAATGGAAGAGATGAAAAGGCGAAATCACGAGGCTCAGCCACTGCGGTCCTGACGCGAGCTCATAACCAACTTGATGATAAGTTCTACAACCGCAGTTTTATTAGTTTTCCAAATAATTCATGCTATTTGAAAGTAATACAATAACTTATACAAATATAAATTATTCAATATCATTAAAAATATAAATTATTCAATATCATTAAAACAATCTGGTTGTTTTAATGATATTGAATAATTTATATTTTTCACAATTATGAAGTATCCTTCCCTACTGCATTATAATTTTGTGCAGTGTTAGTATACTAATGAAAAGCAATCTTTTATTTCCCTAATGACAGAAAGTATATTAGATATATGAGTGTTAACAGTTATAACCAATGTGATGATTGAAAAGTTAATTATTCTGCTTGAGGTGAATAGATGGCTCTAATGATTTGGAATAAATACAGGCAGTTGGAAGGAGCCAAATCTTTTCAATTTTAGCTCTTTAATCGACAAAATGATTCTGTGTATATCTTGAAGTCTGTGCATTTGTCCTTTAAGTGGGGCAAAAATTTGATGAATGAGTTTGTGAG